TTCGGTTTTTGTTGGTTTTGATGGGTGTTGTACGGTGGAAGGGGACTTGTCCGGATTTAAGAAAACAATAGAAAGAAGAGAAATAGGAAAGAATTCACTCCAAGTCGATTCTAGAAATCGACCTATAATGCGATTTTTATAAGCATTCTGTACATTACAGAATGCTTGTAAATAAGTAACCAAACACGTTTTACACAAATCGATTTCTACTCTTTGTAAAATGCGATTTTTGGTCAGAAATCGCTTAACCAAACGTGCTCTCAACTTTTTTCAAATTTCTAGAAACAAGAATGATGTAAAAGAGAAAAAAAAGTAGATCAAATAAGAAATTTTAAGATTTTTGAGTGATTTTTTTTTAAAAAAAAAATGGTTAAATAAGCCATGAAAGACCAGATCAACAAATCTGATTAATTAAAGAAAAAGTGTTTTCAAAATTAGATATGTGTACATCAAAAGAATCAAGAAAAAACCAAAATGAACAAATGAACAAATTCTCAATTAATTTAGAAACCAAAACAGACAATTCATGATGATGATGATCCTAAGGTGTGTTTGATGGTCAATGCCCAACAAATTCAAGAACAATTACACTTTTCCAAAAAAAACCAATTGTCAACAAACCTGGTCTATACCAAAGCCTATGGGTTTTGTGATTCAAGTGATCATGATCAGTATACTTTAGACTACAGGTGATCATCACTTTACACAGCAAGCTTATTAAGCTTACAGTAACTTAAAGTTTGATACAGGTTTAATATGAAGATCAACAAGTGCAAAAGGATAAAAGATGATTGGTTGTGGGTAAATCTGGCTTATTTGATTGGTTTATATTCCTATCTGCATACATACATACTGGCCAAAGAAAACCTCAGTGAGAACTTAGACCTTGATTCATGGGTTCGGAGTGGTGACAGATTTTCAAAAAAAAATCAAATCGGCTATAAGAACTTCTGAATAGGAAAAGAATCTTTCTTTCATCATCAAATCAGAGCAAGACTTATGAAGCCCCATTGACACTGCTAGTACTATACTGGCCCTGATTCGCGTATGTGAAAACTCGGTGAAATGTGTCAAATTCGATGTTTCCGTGATCGGAGAAAAAGAAGGATAAGAAATTTCTTACATACACGACTGAAAGTAAATTATTTTGTCTATATGAATTGAACAAAGAATTGATGAAGGATAAGAAGAAGAAGTAGAAGATATAATTCATTTGACTCAACTCAAATGCATATGTAGCTCAAACTGGAATGTAAAGAAATAAGATAAAGAAAGATTAAGAAGAAAGAAAAAGTAAATTGATCGGATGAACTAGTGAAAACTTGTAATTTGTAAAAGAAGTAAAAGTGTTGGGTCTTGAAAAGAGTTGAAATGCACGATTGATTAATGATTTGTGGAGAACAGAAAATCACAAGAAAGTCAAAGCTGAATGGGAATGCAAAAGAAGATCAAGAATAGAAAAAAGAAAAATGAAAAAATGAAAAAAGTTGAATCAAGTTCCAGATGTTTCACCAAAACCAAACCATCGAATGAAAAAAAAACACACAAGTCAAGAAGATTTGTGACGATCAATTTAGAGCATTGATCGACCGATCGACAATTCAATTGAAACAAAACCAAACTGGACTGAAAATCAAATCCATCTGGAATCTACACTCTTGATTCTTAAATATCAAAACAAATCCAAAAACCCCGAAACAAATCCAAAAAAAATGTAAATCCCAATGTTCTTAACCACCAACGTCCCCCAAAAAAATAATAAAATCCTTCAAGTTAGGTTAGAAATCGAAATTGGAATCTAGATGTGTTAAGAAAAACACCAACTCACCTCGGAGAGTATTTTCATATGTAGATCGATTAAAAGAATGTAAGATCAGAAGATCCTACGAACAATTTTCAAACCATGACCCATGTTTTTTTTTTTTCAAATCGATCTTGTAAATAATTTCATAACCATCAAAACAAGACTAAAAAATTCAATCACGTAAGTCTGAAAAATTCGTGTGGTGTCAGTGTTTTACGCTGGTGAATTAGTTGAAGTTGTATAAGCTTCAAAGAAGATTACACGGATTTTATTTTCAAATGAGTTTCGGTTTGTCATTAATTAAGAAAGAGCTTCTACATATCCATTCATCAGCCTTCTTTCAATACTTCTTTCTTTCTAAAATAAATTTTCTTTTGTAGATTTCCTTTCTTTTTTGTGATGACTTGAGTTGAAATGAATGAAAAAAACCAATCCAAAGCAGTCTCCCTAAAAACTTCCTGTATATATAAATAAAAAGAAAGTGGACATGAATTGGATTTTGAATAACCAAAGAAAAAAAAAGATTTACAGTCAAACCTGTGCAATTGCATAATTTGGGTGGAAGACTTTTCCTATGCATTTTCACGGGTTATGCAATTCCATTGTCTAGTTTGGCGGTAAAAAGTATCAAGATCTAGGAATTTTTCTATGCATTGTCACAGGTTATGCATCTGCGCAGGTATGCATTTGCACAGGTTTGACTGTACATTTTTTCCAAAACGAAATTGAAGAAAAAAAAGATAAATTCAGTTTAGATATGTAGTAAGAATATGAGTCATTTTTTTAAAAAATGTGTAATCAAAAGAATTCTTAGTGATAAATTCAGATTACGAATGTTTTTTTCTAAAGCTAAAAGATAGAAATGTGATTGATGATGATGGAGAGAGAGAGAGAGATAAACCTAGATTTGGTGAATTGGATAATTGTAGGGTAAGTTTATCAATCAATCAAATCAATCAATCGATTAATTGGTGAATTTGATTGAGAATTGAGAATTGAGAATGATACAAAGGGTGATTTACGATTTACCAAACCCACTTGCTTCAGTTACTTGCTTGGTATTCTTAATTTAACTTTTTTTTTTTCATTTCATTAACTATTCTTATCGAAAACAACTTGACTCGATTGACCCTTTGTAATTTGTTGTGATCTGTGTGTGTTTTTTGAATTAAGTTTTGATTTCTGATTTTTGATTTGGTGATTGGTGATTGGTTTTCTCAGTTAATTTATTGTTGGTTTCTTTTTGATGATCGACTTGTTTACTATTGGTGAGTTGATTTCTTAACTTTTGTAAATCTATCTGTTGACTTACTTATTAACTTGTTAAATAGAAAATTAAAAGAAGTGTTTTGATGATAAGAGTACAAATTGGTCAGTAGACTTTTGATTTCCAACTTCATTCATTCTCAACTTGACAACTGACATTTGAATTCACTCTGATTACTGACTACTAGTCTATACAGATAAGTGACTGCCATCAAGATGAGTTTAGCTGAACTCTTTCATCATCATCATCATCTTCATCAACTTCAATCACCTCCAACTAATCAAGATCAACAACAACAACAACCATCTAATCAAATCAAACCTAATCTTGATTCAAATCAACCTATTCCAACTTCAAATCTTCAATACTATTCACCTTCATCTTCTCATTCATCAAGAAGTTCAACTCAAACCAACTCTTCACCAAACCATCCTTCATCTCAATCCACTTCTTCACCTCCTACTGATCCATCTACTTCTTCAGATCATCCATCAATCGATCATTTACATCATCATCATCTATACCATCATCATCATCATCTTTCAAAACCTATCCCATCAAAACCTACTGCTGATTCACTTTGGATCAATCTATCTCCTAGAAGTTCTTTTGATCTTAACTATTCTCATCATCATCAATCTATACCACCTCAACTTCAGTCTAATCAACAAATCAATCCGTTCTTCAATCCTTCTTCTTCTTCTTCGGAATTCATCAATAATCTCTCTACCAATCCTTCAGCTCTTAGTACTCCTATCGATCAACAATTTCAAAATCCATTCAACAATACCCCTCCTACCAGATTACCCAATCATCCACCCACTTCAATCAATCCCTCACATCATCACATCAACAACAGCGAACAGCGATTACAAAAATGATCTCATTCGTCATCCAACCTCAATCCGGCCTACTGCTAAAGTCAACACTCTTGCTAATCCTACTCCGATCATTCTTTCAACCGATCATCAGGCTTATCGGAACCATTCGATCATATCAGAACTTCAATCATTTCAACCCAATCATTCATCTATCGATCTTTTATCTAAATCAAATCTTCATACCCCAGATCAAATCAAATCCAAAAAATCATTTTCAAACTCACCTACTACTTCGATCATTACCCATCCTTGGAATCCTTCCTTAAATCAACAAACTTCGCCAAACCTTCAATCTACAAACATCCTTTCCGTTTCAGAATCACAACCAACTTCTATCCCGTTAAATTATTCTAACCCACCACGTATGTTTTCTCACTAAATCTAACACTTCTTTTTCGAAATTCTAAAGTCTGACTTTCTCCACTTTTCTTTTGTAGCTTACTCAAACCAATCTCAAGTCCAGTATAAATTGACCGATCCATCTTTAAATTCAAACTATCAGACTTCTACTACATCTTTACCTGTCTCGAGACCTAATCAACTAGGCCATCATCTTGTTCAGATCCCCGACCCTTCAAACCTTTTGTCCAACCCAGGCTCATGTATCTCAAACCAACCGATCATTGAAGAATCCGGTCACAGTCAGTCTTTTCTTTCGTGATTTCTAAAACTGATGCTGATTATTTTGGGTTCAAACAGATGCGGTTGAAAAAAGATATCGTAATAATATCAATAGTCATATTGCTGCTTTGGCTGATTTAGTACCGGCACTTCAACATCTTCGAGCTTTACCATCGGCTGCTACCTCTAGACGTCATTCTAGTCAGTTTATTGTTTCTACAAGTGCGATTGGGAAGATTCCTGCGGGATTGGTGGATGGAGTGAAAGCTGCTACTAAGCTTAGTAAGGGTAATATCCTTAGCAAAGTGGGTGGTTTGATCATTTCTTCAATTTGTATCTTGCACAATCACGATCGCTGACTTTTTTTTAATGTATTTTCATACAGAGTGTTGATTATGTGAAACATCTTCTTCGTACGAGAAGTGAGATGCAAGAAGATTTGAATGATTTGAAAGAAATGATTCGATTAAGAGTAGATGGAGGACAGATCTTGATACTTGAATGGGAAGAAAAAATCAATTCAAAGGTACCCGAAAGAGAAAGACAAAGGATGATGGAACAAAATGAAGTAGAAGAAGAAGGAGATGATGAAGAAGAAGTTGGAAAAGGTTTGATGGCCAATGGAAGTAAGAGACGTAAAGTTTCAGATCAAGCTGATTCACTTGGATTGACTAAAGGAAGAGGAACTATGAAATCCGGTTTGATGAATAAGCAACAAAAGAAGGCTTTGAATCATTTGTTACCTCCTACTTTGCCTATCAGTTTTAATTCTCAACAACTTCATTCTACTAGTTCTCCATTACATTCAGATGGATCTAATTCAAGTCATCATCATCCAACTCTTTCACTTGATCCATCACATCGAATCGAAGAATTAGATATCTTTAAACCTACTCAATCTATTCCAAGACATTCACAGTATCCAGAAACGTATCAACCGACGCAAGATTTCTTAAACCAAAGTTTTATCAATCCATTTCAATCTAATCTTTCACATTTACCTCCTACTAATCTTTTGGCTGTCTCGATGGGCTTATCATTCGCTCTTGGATCGGTTTATCATTATTATCAAATGAAAGCTTTTACAAGTCCTTTATACACTCCTTCGACTACTACGAATCCTCCTTCTGATGATCTGACTACTTATCATCCAGACAGTTGTGGTCATCATCGAGTCGGATTTGGAAAACTTGGAGTTCTTGATCGTGGATTGATGAGAGCTGGAATCGAAACTGTTTCGATGGCTTCAATGGTTTTTGTTTTGTTGGTCTTGTTGAAACCAGAGTTTTTGTTAAGTTTTATGAAGCCTTCTTATCGTCTTTCGAGTTGCACTAAAACCAAAAACCAAAAAAAGAAGAAGGATTTAGTGAAACAAGAAGAAGAAGATGATGATCGAGTGATAGATGAAGATGATTACAAGAGCCTCATGAAGAGAGTTGATGGACAGATTGGGATGTTGGGCTTTGGAGTGGAATGTTTTAAAGGTTTAGGTCAATTATCTATCTTTTTAGGCTTTCCTCAATTTTTGTTTCTTTCAAGTTTGAGAATCAGTTTAGGTTATGAAAAAGAAAAGAAGAAGAAAATTAAGATTTGGTTGAGGATTGCAGAACTTGAAAGCTTGAATGGTATGTTCCGTTTTTTCTCTCTGGGTTCTTTTTTTTTTGGTTGGTTTCTAATGTGATTTTTTTTTTGACTTAGGACTTAATCAAGTTTCGTTTTTTTGTCGATTCTTGACGGCTTTAAAGTTGTTTAATTTGATTGATTGGAAGATGGAAAAGCAAGTTGAAGGGAATCAAAGGAATCAAGAAGTGATCCGATTGATGATTATCCTTTCATTACATCTTCGGAACCTGATGGGTCCAGATAATTTGATTAGTCAAACACTTTGGAATCGAGCCAAGGAAGTTTCAGAAGAAAGTATCGATCAGAAATCGGGTTTGGTCAAGGAAGATCTTAAGGCAGATTTGATGAGTGGTGAAAATGATTCAAAGTGGGAAACCCAACAAGTTTTAAAGTTATCGTACTCGGAAGTTTCTAGGTTGATAAAAAGTTCCAAAAGTTCATACAGCTTACTTTCAACTCAACCGAATCGAAGAAGAAAAAGCATAATTCAAGAAATCTTGTTGATCCGATCTGAAATCGAATTAATTGAAATCTGGTCCCGAATCTTTGTTTCGACGATCAAAAAGACCACTCGGATTGAAACCGATCAAAGTAGATTAAGTCAAGATTTCAGGTTAGATTCGATTGATGAATTGCCTACTAGATTAGAAGAAGCTGGAGATCATTATGCTTTACAGGTTTCGGCAGGTAGATTGGTGGTAGAAGAATCGATTGAAAAGATTTGTGTGATGTTAAGATCACAACTTAGAGATAAAGGGGATAAAGGGAATGATAGGTTGGATCAGATGGCTAGGTTGACTAGAGGAGTTTGGAGCTTGGCGTTTGGGAGGAAAGGGGTGGCGAAGGAAGTGGGAAATGAATTGGTTATGGAAAAAGAAAATGGCAGTCAGGATGGGGATCAGGATGGGGTGTTGGGATCGGTTGAGGCTTATGTTGAGTTGATTATGAAGACTGAAGCGAAAGATCAAAAGAAATGGTTCAAGAAGAAGAAGCAGCGGGAAGAATGTATATTGAAAGAAGAAGAAGAAATGAAGATTTGTACGGTGGATAGGTTGGCTTGTTTGACCATTAAATGGTTAACGATTCGTAGGATGCATTTACTAAAAACAGTCTTACCACATCAACCTTGGTATTCTTCTTCTTCCTCTTCTTCTTCTTTTGAGAAAGAAGAAATGATTGAAAGAGTTGAAGAAATGAAAAGCTTGATGATCGGATTAGAGCTCGAATTGAATGGTGAATTGAATGGATTATCGACTAAACAATCGGATGAATCGATTTCTAATGGGGAAAGTAAAGAGTATGATTTGGGTATGGCTTTGAAGGATTGTGGGGTATCTGTGGAGATTATTGAGGGGTTTTTGTAGATGGATTTTTTGGGTTTTTTTTGGAATGGGAAGACGAAAAAGGAAAAGGGGAAAAGGGAAACGGGGAAACGGGAAACGGGGAAACGGGTTTGGCGGGTTTCCTCTTCTGTGTTTTTTTGGGTTTGTTTGTTTTTGGTTTTGGGTGCGGGTGCGGGTTTTTTGGTTTTGGTTTTGGTTCTTGAGATTGGTTTGGGTTTTTTTGAAAAAAAGTTAATGAGTTGATAATAATAGATCAAGTAGTAAATCAAGTAGTAAATCAAATAGTAAATCAAATAGTAAATCAAATAGTAAATCAAATAGTAAATCAAATAGTAAATCATCTGTGTGTGTGGTGTTTTTTTGTCTTATTTATTGATATCCAAAAAGAAAGAAAAGAAAAAATCCACCAAAAAATATTATATATTTCAAAAAAATCTAAAAAAAAAAATCCAAAAAAATGTTATTTTTCTTCTTTGTTTGTTTGAGTTTTTGTTTGTTTTTGTGTTTTTTGTGTGTTTTTGTTTGTTTTTTGTGTGTTTTTGTAAAATGAATGAAAGATGTGGTTATGAAAATTGGTTTGGTTTTGTTTAGGTCACTTTTTATGATTTTTGAAAAAAAAAAAATGAAAGTTTTTAAACTGGTTTTTATCAAATCATTTTATTGCTAATAGTAGGAAGTTTCTGATTTGAAATTTAAAAATCAAGTTTATATGAAAAAGCTTTCTTTTTTGGTCTTGGTCTTTGGGATAATTTTGGGTTTTCTGGGATTTGATTTCTGGGTTCTTGATTGTCATGATTGGCATGAATGTTTGGTATTGGGATTGGGATTGGGATTGGTAATGAAAACTTAAGTGGTATTTTTTGGGTTGGTCAAAGTATTTTTGTTTGATACTTGTTTTGGAAGTTTAGAGAAAATGATTTTGTGGTACCATAAGAAAACTTACTTTGGTTTAGGAATCTGTTTGGTATTACATTGTATTCTCTAGTTGAAAGATTTTTTGTTTGGAACATGGAAATCATTTTTAAAATTGATTGTGTAAGGTATAAAATGTTTAACTTCAACTTCATGAAATTTAAATCATTTCTGGTTTGAAAAAAAAAGAAAAATCGAAAAGTGGATTATTTATGACATAAGTTTGATCAATTTTTTTCAATTTTTTGTTTTTCCTATCATTTTGTTGAAGAATTATTTTGTGAAATTCGATGTGATTTTGTTCTTCTTTCTCTCTTGGTTGGTAGAATTATTTTTCGTGTTTGATCTTGAAGATCTGTTGGATGAAAAAGTCTTTCTGTTTAATGTGATGAGAGGAATTATTTTACCTATTTTCATGGAATGAATGAGTTGGCTTGCTTTTGGATTCGTTTCTGGAACTTTTAAGCAGTTCCATTAATGATAACCGAAACATGTCGCTGCTGGTTTTACTCAACTCGATCTCCAAAATTAACAATCATCACATTGTTAATGCAAGTCGAGCATACTATGGTCGTGAGCTTATCCATACATTACGTCGGACAGTCTTTTTTTATACCGCACGGCGGAGTGCGAATACGAACAGTGCTGCTGGCTATAATCTTGAGTCATCTTTTGCTTTTACTTTTGGTTGAAGTGCTTTTCTTTCATAAATTTTTTCTAGCAATTATTTTCTGATCTCACGGGTGTCAAATCAATAAGCGACGGCTAGATTCCCAATGATTCTTAATTCTCTTGTCTCAGCACGAAATGCTGATTGGCTGAAGTGTGATGGATGAGCTTTACATCACTTTATCTTGGTTTCGCATGTCTTGAAATAATGATAATTCAAAATTTCAAAAGCTTCTAGAAATGAAACTCAAAACTGCAAACAAACAGCCGGTAGAGGTGAAGCAATAGCTCAGCTCGAGTTTGCTTTCTCGTTTTCTTTCGTCAATAGTCCCAGCGCGAGGTGTTGGAATCAGCTTGGGCTTGAATCTATGAGTATATAAAGACGGCAAGATGACGATGGGATTTATTCTTCAGACAAGTCTTGTCTCAGCGCAATCTCCATCACGTTCACAACCTTCAACGCTCATAACGCAAATCCAAAACAGAAACCTCAAGATAAATCAACCTACCAACCTTTCTACGCTTTGAACACCTAATACCACCATGCACAATACGACTTTCAACGCGGCAGGTTCCGCTTCAGGTGCGCAAGAGATATTGGCAACTGCCCAGGCTGACAAGTTTTCTGATTCGTCCGATGCTACTGGTGAGGATGGATTATGGGGCTCTGAAGATGGTGACAACGTTGAGAAGACAGATCAAGATGCTAGTGGTTCCTTTCAGCCAGTATCTTTGGTGTTGCCCACCCGCTCTGCCCCTCCACTTGCTCTACCGGGTCGCAACGTTATTCCACTCCCGGCACGAGCCACGCCAACGACAGACATACCAGTTCATCCCACTCACAATCCCTCACAATCACAATTATTTTCTGATCTGCATTCTGACTTTATCCCGCCAGTAGACAACACCAACTTAATCGTCGCTGACATCCCTGTACCACCCTCCAACCAATACCCAAGCCATGCAGACCCAACCTTCTTTGATTACAGTGCTCCCTTGTACGAAGCATCCGATGACATTCCCGTTCCTCAAGAACAACGGCAGGAACACTTTGTAGACCCTGCCCTTCTGTCTACTGACTTTACTGGGGCCGGTTCCCTAGATTGGATTTACGATTTTCCTATTCCTACTCAAATCAACCCTGCACCCACCAACAATGTTCCTGTACCCCCTCTGAGCCACTACCAGGAACCAGCACGATTCATCAACCCGGCACATCTGCTGTTAAATCCAAATGGGGCTGGTTCCCCAAACTGGCCGGTCAACCTTTCTACTAACCCGCAAGGTTCCAGCTACGCCAACCCCACTCCAGGAGCTGGACCTCCTGTCGCCTCTACCTCTCAACTACCTCCTACATCTTCCTCCCGCAAGCGCGCTCGAAAGGCCTCGGAAACTGAACTTGAACCTCAAACCAAGAAGGTGCGACAAAGGGATCCCGAGAAACCAAAAATGCAGAAAGCGCCTTGTCCTTGGCCCGGTTGTGGGAAGATGATCGTGGTCAAAAACATGCAGAGACACATCGACGGGATGCATCTAGGTAAAAAGAAAGTCCAATGTAGGTACCCAGATTGTAGGAAAATTCTAGCATGGGAAGGTGATCGTGCTAGACACTATAGAACTGTTCATCGCGGACAACCCCCGCCGCCTGACAAATCACCTTCCCCTGAAGGCACGCCTCATCTGGATGGCCCACCTGCTCCCCGAGGACCACCACCACCACCACCACCACCACCGGGGGCAAGCGGGATTGCTGCATGCTAAAAAAATCAATAAGTGTTTCTTTTTGATATTAGTTATGAAAGTTAAATTTCTTGTGAACATCTTGATGATTTGTAAATATTTATCTTATCAGGTTTCTAATTTGTTTTTCTTTTTCTTTGGATTTTGCGCTATTGAGAATACAAGACAAGAACTTGAATCAAAAAAAACCATTCAAAGTTGAGCTTTGAGCGTGATTGTGAGTCAATTAAATTACTTTTAGTATAACCTAAGCCTTGACTATTTTATTCTTGAGTTTTGAATCTTTTTTGTGGAATCTTAAGCTGGAAATCAACCCGACCTGGAAATTAATTGATTTGAACGGCGAGTCAATTTTCAATCAATATTGTAATATCAGAAGCATATTTATCCTGATTATAATTGTTTCCTTCCAAGCTGTTTATTGTAGTATTCACCTCATTATGGCAAGACTCGAAATAACCATTAGCAATGACTAGAGAAATTGTGATATTACGATATTGGGATATTATGATATTTTACAAAAAAAAACCATTCAAATTTGAGCCTTGAGATTGATCGTGGGTCAAGTCAATTATTTCTTTAAGTATAGCCTGAGCCTTGACTTTTCTATCCTTTTGAATGATTTATCTTTCTTTTTGAAATCTTGAGCTGGAAATCAACCCGACCTGGGAATCAGTTGACTTGAACGGCGAGTCGATTTTCAATCATTATCGTAATTTCACAATAATATTCATACTGATTAGACTCGTTTCTTTCCGAGCTGTTTCTTGTAGTATCCACCTCATTATGGTCAGACTCAAAATAATTATAATCGGTATGTAGAGATATTGTGATATTTTACAGATACCTCCTTTTTCAGGAATATATTTCTGCAAAAAAGATTATTTCATGTCTGTCTTCATTTTTACTGAGAGGACTTTTTTGATATCAATAATGATTGCAAGAAAAAAGAACGAGTTTTCGATTTAGCAATGGATCCTACCATAAGACTCAACACTGTTCTCTGGAGGCGAGTCTTGGGAGGTAGCATGTTGCAGTCACGGCGGAGAAAAAGTGTTGGTGTGGTGCTTAGAGCTCCTAAAGCGGCTCCTCAGAAAGGCAGGCTTACATAGATGTATTATGACGACGAGTTTTCGCCTCAGGCCGCAAATACATCTGCCACATGGTGTTTTTCCATCGATCTTGACCACCAATCCGGAATCAATTGAGGAGCAAAATTGTGTCACCCGTGTCTTTGACACGTCGTCACGAGGAGATCAATCGTTGGGAAATCTCTATCCTTCAAAGCCACGGAAGAGATGGCGCAAATAACATTGGAGCCTCGCAGAGCGTCACAGACTTGGATTCTGACCAACTATATAGTGCCTGATCTCAATGAACTCACGATTCACCCGTTCCGGGAGCAGCGCTGGACCCACGGAAGTCCCTCGAGCCGTGGCGTCATGCGGAGTCGACCGGCTGGGTGCCCCACCAAGAACCTGGCTCGCCGGCAGCCATGAGACTTTGTTGGATTCACCTCGTACCCATAAGGCGCACTATGCCACAGGCTCAGAAGATTAGATTTACGAATTCGTTCGAAACACGCTTTGAAAGAACTCTTATGAAAAAGAGCATAAGCTTCATTCAATACTGACATTCTAACATTTGCCTCCCAAAGACGCAAAAACCATTCTTCTCTTTGAGAAAGCTTTTATTCTTTACGATCTTTCAAATTTTCTTGGTTCTAAATTTATTGATATCTATTATCAGACTTTTCGTCCTTCCACAGAACAAATTCTTGAGGCGTCTTGAGCTTTGAGGTGACGAGTGGTTTAATTGAATGATTTCCAAAATTTAGTTATGTACTTAAGCTTGTACATAGCGACTTGGTTGATTGACTGGACTCTGGAGGGCAAGCGTAACACTCTCACGCAACAACTTCGGTCTCAGGCTTCAGCTCACCATACATACTCAAATCGATCACGAACGCCATCCCTTGAAAAGGTAAGACTTATCTTTCTATTACCAAGTTGAACATTAAATCATCTACACAATCTCTGACAAGGTGTTAAAGCGTATAGCTTGCCTCTAAACAGATCGACATGTCTTTTCTCAATCGAGTTGGCATCGGTTCTACCAAGTCATCTAGCTCCAATAAGCCCAATCAACCTGGGACCACCGCTTCACCAGCCTCTTCTACAATGTTTCTATGTTCTTTTCTGGAAGGTGCGAGTTTATCGCCGTCGGTGATTGCTCAGGCTCAACTTGAAGTTCAAATCAGTTTTGGTTTGTTTTGTAAATATGTAGCTGGATGAAAAGGTTTTTCTGTTTAACGTAATGAGAGAAAATATGTTACCCATTTCCATGGAATGAATGAGTTGGCTTGCTTTTGGATTCGTATTTGGAACTTTTAAGCAGTTCCATTAATGATAAACATTAAGAACCGAAAGATGTCGCTGCTGGTTTTACTCAACTCGATATCCAAAACTAACAATCTTCACATCGTTAATGCAGGTTAAGCTCATTGTCTATGTGAGCTTATCCATACATTACCACGGACAGTCTTTTTTCCTTCCAAACGGCTGACTACGAATACGAACAGTGCTGCTGGCTATAATCTTGAGTCAACTTCGCTTTTGCTTTTGCTTGAAGGACTTTGCTTTTTAATTTTTCCTAGCATTTCTTTGCTGATCTCACGGGTGGAAAATCGATAAGTGAAGCCGATATTCTCAGCGGTTCATAATTCCTTTGTCTCAGCACAAAATGTTGACTGTCTGAAGTGTGATGGATGAGCTTTACATCACTTTATCTTGGTGTCGCATGTCTTGAAATAATGATAATTCAATATTTCAAAAGCTTCTAGAAATGAAGCTGAAGACGGTAAACAAACAGCCTGTAGATGAAGTAATAGCTCAGCTTGAGTTTGCTTTCTCTTTCGTCTATAGTCACATCGCGAGGTTTTGGAACCAGCTTGGGCTTGAATCACCGAGTATAAAAAGACGACAGGATGACGAAGAGATGTGATCCTCAGACAAGTCTTGTCCCAGCGCAATTCCCTTCACGTTCACAACCTTCAACGCTCATAACGCAAATCCAAAACCGAAACCTCAACGATACATCAACCTACCAACCTTTCTACGCTTTAAACACCTAATACCAACATGCACAACACGACTTTCAACGCGGCAGGTTCCGCTTCAGGTGCGCAAGAGACATTGGCAACTGTCCAGGCTGACAAGTTTTCTGATTCGTCTGACGCTACTGGTGAGGATGGATTATGGGGCTCTGAAGATGGTGACCAAGCCGAGAAAAGAGACCAAGATGCTCGTGGATCCTTTCAGTCAGTATCTTTGGCGTTGCCCACCCGCTCTGCCCCTCCACTTGCTCTACCGGGTCGCAACGTTATTCCACTACCAGCAAGACCCACACCAACAACAGACATACCAGTTCATCACATTCAGAATCCCTCACAATCACAATTTCCTTCTGATCTACAATCTGATTTTATCCCATCCATAGAAAACACCAACTTATTAATTCCTGACATCCCTGTGCCATCCTCTAGCCAATATCCAAGTCATGCAAATGACATTCCCGTTCCTCAACAACCACAGCAGGAGCAATTCATCGACCCCGCTCTTCTCTCTACTGATTTTACTGGGGCTGATTCCCTGGATTGGATTTACGAATTTGCTATTCCCAACTACATCCACCCTACAGCAGCACCCAGCGACAATATCCCTGTACCCCCCCTGACCCACTACCAAGAGCCTCCACAATTTATCAACCCCGCACATCTGCTGTTGAATCCAAATGGGGCTGGTTCCCCAAACTGGCCGGGCAATCTTTCTATTACCCCGCAACACTTAGGCTATACCAACCTCGCGCCAGGAGCTGGACCTCCTGTCGCCTCTACCTCCCAACCGCCTGCCGCATCTTCCTCCCGCAAGCGTGCTCGAAAAGCGTCGGAAAACGAACATGAGCCTCAAGCAAAGAAAATCCGACAAAGAGATCCCGAAAACCCCAAAATGCAAAAAGCGCCTTGTCCTTGGCCCGGTTGCGGAAAGATGATCGTCATCAAAAACATGCAGAGACACATCGACGGTATGCATCTTGGCAAGAAGAAGGTCCAATGTCGGTACCCAGATTGTAGGAAAATTCTAGCATGGGAAGGTGATCGGACTAGACATTACAGGACTGTACATCGCGGACAACCCCCACCGCCTGATAAATCACCTTCCCCTGAAGGCACGCCTCATCTAGATGGCCCACCTGCTCCTCAAGGTCCACCACCACCACCACCACCCCCGGGGGCGAGCGGGATTGCTGCATGCTGAAAGAATGATGAGTGTTTCTTTTTATGATTAGTTATGAAAGTTTAATTTCCTGTGAACATCTTGATGTTTTGTAGATATTCATCTTATCAGGTTTCTAATTGTTTTTCTTTTTCTTTTTTTTGGATTTTGCGCTATGAGAATACAAGACAAGAACTTGAATCAAAAAAACCCATTCAAAGTTGAGCTTTGAGAGTGATCGTGAGTCAATTAAATTACTTTTAGTATACTATAACCTAAGCCTTGACTTTTTTGTTCTTGATTTCATTTTAATGAATCTTTTTCTGTGAAATCTCGAGCTGGAAATCAACCCGATCCACTTCGAAGTTGGTTGTTTTGAACGGCGAGTCAATTTGCAATCATCATTGTAATATCTCCATACTCTGCATACTGATTGAAATTGTTTCCTTCCAAGCTGTTTATTGTAGTATTCACCTCATTATTTTCAGACTCAAAATGATCATCTAAGCCTTGACTTTTATTCTTGAGTTCATTTGAATGTAACTGTTTTTGTGGAATCTCGAGCTGGAAATTAGTTGATTTGAACGGCGAGTCGAATTTCAATCATTATTGTATATCACAAGCATCCTTATACTGATTATAATTGTGTCCTTCCAAGCTGTTTATTGTAGAACCTCATTATGGTCGGACTCAGAATGATAATTATCAGTAACTAGAGAAGTTGTGATATTAGGATATTAGGATATTTTACAAAGAGAACCATTCAAAGTTGAGCTTTGAGCGTGATTGTGAGTAAATTGAATTCATTCTTTTAGTATAACCTAATCCTTGAATGTTTTTATTCTTGAGTTCATTAAAATCAATCTTTCTTTGTGGAATCTCGAGCTGGAAATCAACCCGACATAGAACTTAGTTGATTTGAACGGTGAGTCAATTTTCAATTGTTATCGTGATATCACAAGAATCTTCATACTGATTGAAATTGTTTTTTTCCGAGCTGTTCCTTGTAGTATCCACCTCATTATGGTCAGACTCGAAATGATCATTATCAGTAACTAGAGAAATTGTGATAATATGATATAACAGATATTTGATTCATAACACTAGAATAACCACCACCACCAAAGATCCGAATCAAAATAGCCATGATTCAAGGGTTTGAAATTCTGGTATCTTCATGAACAAAGTATTTGCCAAAAAAAGAACTCAATAGGTAGAAGGATTTCTTTTGCGCATCTCTCTGGATTCTGGAGTCTTTCTTCTGTTGAGCAGAAGATGTCTGTTCACAAAATCCTTTGTGTTGGCTGTGATGTCAAAATACAAGTTCGCAAATGGATGTGGAATAGCCCAAAATGATGTTGAGTAGGTAGCAAGAAATAAATTCCCTTGAATAATATCATTTTTTTTGTGTTGCACATGTGTGATTAAAGCTTTGAAATGGGTAAAAAAATCATGTATAAAACTTGCACTGGATTGGACTGGTACAGTTACTGCAAGTCAAACTTGATTGATCAAAGATTGTGGTACTTTAGTCAGATCAAAAAATCACAACAAAGTCTGAGGGAAGAGGTCAGAATGATTGCATGTCAAAATCAAACATAGCCAACCCCATCTAAAGCCATACCCATCTACAGGCATAACCCACCTAGGTTGGGTGTGGGAGTGAGTTTATCCAACAATCTTGAGAGTGTACAAGCAGACACAGAAAAGATATGTCACCCTTGAGGCCAACACATTGCTATAGCATATGTAATACCCCCAAGTGAAGCCAGTCTGGCCCCAAGGGTGACATATCTTTTCCGTATCTACTTGTACATGTATATTGGTTCTGTTCCTGAATCAACTATGCTATATGTACTTTGAACTAGGCGGAGGTGGTGCAGCTGGCATTGAAATCATAAATCATTCACTCATACAAATCTATCTAGTGTCAAAATCTATGCTGTGTTATAGAAAGGATTGAGATTTTGTTCAACTGTGACAAGAATCTTAAAAAGTGAATGAGAGAAAAAAGATCTGCAATAAGGGCTGAAGCCATAAACATCTAGATGTAGCTACCAATTGTTGAAAATACTGAGCCAAGGTGTGAAGATCAATGTTGATAGACTACAATTCTTTGAAACTACAATGTATCAGAGGAAACATGCTCATTTTCAAATCCTAACAAAGCTCTCAGAGCATATTCATTCTCATTTTTACTTTTGTTATTGAGTGAAAAGAATTTCAAAAATTGATAAAGGACAGGCCTATTGGGAGGGAAGGAGTGTCCATCTGTTTTTACTAAGAACAATTTCATCAGAAGACTTGTCTCTTCAAACTTTGTCTTCACTAAATGATTAATAGCCTTCTGTAATGAGACAGTCTCTCCTAATCTCTTCATCTTTAAGAACACATGCACATCTTTCATGGGTCAAAAATTATGTCAGTATAGAAAAAAAGGTTCAAAAGAAATGATGGATCACTCACATTTTGACCAAAAATGATAAACTTTCATTTGATTCTGTAGATTTGGATCATAATCTACTTTCAAGCCATAAGGCTTTAGTATCTTCACTTCTATGACAAACCAATACATATTGCTATATTCCAAGCTTGGTGTTAACAAAGATCCTAAATGACTTTTCACACAAGAAGTGTTATGGATTCACCTGTGAGAATTCAAGGATTCTATATATTCTAGTATATTATCTGAATGCAAACTCAAAACTTTGTAGATCCAATTTCTGAAGGGGTCATCAATGCAGCCAAAATTGCTAGGTAAGTTATGGACTGATCTGATCAATTGTGTCTGAACATATTGAGTCTCCATGATGTTTTGTAGACCTTTAGTTAATTTGGCCCTTGAATAGGTTATCATATCTTGAGGTAATTATCATATCAGTATTACTTGCTTGGTTCAAATTAAGATGACTGTGACATACTAGAAATCCAGAATATGTAAAGACTCTTTTGATCTTCTGAAGACCACTTTCCAGCCAACTTGACACCACATAGGCCAATGTTTTCTTGCATTGATTTGAAATCAATCAGGTCCCTATATCATCCAAATTTGGTTAGTCTTAAACAAGGCAGAATAAATCAAAGTAGGAGGCTAATTAATTCATAGGAGACTGTATTCACCTGCTAGGATCCAGAGATCTGATGTAATCAATCATTTTCTCTTTATATAATCCCATCACAATATCTAGTTCCTCTTGCAATGTGTGTTTGTTTCTATTATGACCAAGAAAATCTTCAAAAGATGATAGATAGACCAACTTTTCCCATGCCACTTGAACCACATCAAATGGTAACTCATAGGATTTTATCAGTTGATTCAAAATCTTCAAAAGTGTTATAATTTCATCATCATCTTTTTCTGTGAAACCTACTGCATATTTTTCAAATAAAGCTACAAGTCTTTTACTCCAGGTTTTCTTATCTGAAATCAAAAGAGTGTTGGTGTCTTTGATCATCTCCCAGTATTCTACCCTGGATGTTAAGTGTATGTTGCCTTCAAAGTTGTATCAGTACATGTCAAGTTTTGGGTGTAAAAGATTCAGGTGACATGATTCCAGATGTAATTATGAATACTCACTATTTTTCCAAAAATTATCCATTTCATCTGATGCTGATGGTTGTATTTCATTTGGGGCATAAGGGTGATGTATAGGCAATATCAAAATCAGGTCCACTATTCTTCTCTGGGTCTAGATTGAAAGATGGGTATCATAGAAATGGGTATCATAGAAAAGAAAAGAAATATCATCTCACCAACTTTCTTTGGGAATTTTTGTCACACCTGCTCTTGTTGAAAGTTGACCACATTCCAGACTTTCTTCCTTTCCAATCAGTATTGCTGTCAGAACACCATCAAAGATTATGTATGATAGAAGAATTTGAAGTATAGATATATAAAAGCACACTTCTTTTATTGATAGTGTCTTCATTATGAGATCTTTGGATGTTATCAACTCCTCAGTGGCAAATACTTGAGGGAAATGATCATCTAGAAAATCCAAATACTGCAAACAAAACTAATCTATGAAACACATTTCATTCAGCTTACAAGTTTGAAATCTCAAAGTATCAAACTTCCATCAAACTTTAATTGAGTTGACTTCAAAATCTGACATGAGGTGACATCAAGAACTTCTTACTGACACAATCAGACTCAAGGGAGGCCTGGCCCCCCTATACCAGCCAAAACCTTGGCACTTGACAAAATTCAAGGACCAGCAAGGATGGCAATTTATGTTTTCAGTGACCTCAGGAGCATTCTATCAACACTAGTTGAATGGATGAAGCACGCCTCAGTGACATACTCATGCCTTGAAGTGTCAAACATCAACCCAGTTTCAATCCCCCATCATGTCAAAGCTGCCTTGTGGAACCAGAATTACCACCATACTTGACGTACAAGTCAACATCTAAGGATTTGCATGATTGCATACCTGATATGATGCCTGAGATTTTTGATGAAGGGACCTCAATAGAACCTGAAAACCCCCCTTGTTTTCTGTCTTCCTTGGGACTGTCATCTAAGGGTACCTCAATTGTTTGCCTCCATAGCACTTATTCTTGCAGGGCATTGATCAGTGAAATATGAGAGAACAGTTTGATGAAAAAGTCAGACTTTTACATCTTTATCAAGGTCATCAAATGCTTCCTGTTATGTATTGCCTCTCATTCTTACTTTAGCTCAAAAGTTATAGAAGGAGAGTCAGCCATCTTGCACTCAACAAGAGGCCATACAGTGATCACAAGGCCTGCATGGGGGCCTGCACTGGCTTGGTTTGTGGGGTGATATCTCTTGTGTTCATTGTTGAAATAGAATTTGAACTTGAACAATACTAGATTTCTTGATAAAATTTCTTGTGTAATCCAATCCCTGCTCCTTGCACGCAGGAACATTGGCTCAGATCTTTCTCAAAAAAAAATTGCATGCCAAAGTGAATGTGGATACAAAGTCTTCACAGATCATAACATGCTGGCACCAAATTGAAGGATTGTCACTAAAGACATACCGTTGCAATCTCACATTTTCACAGCTTTCAGTTACCATTTATGTATTTACAGAGAAGATGCCAAGCTAATTGAGAGTTTTTACTAGCCAGGTAGAATCAATCAATATTCCAAGGGTACAAGAAAGAGTTTTTTGAGGTTGAATACTGTGTTTCACTCATGCCTCTATTTTCACCTTTGCCTTTGGTACCACTCATTTCAATTCACTAGTCTCTAGGCTGGAACAGAGCTTGGATGACCCGTATCACATCATAGTTTTAATTCAAGGGAACTTGCAGTAATGAGTTCATGATTGTGGAAAATGTGGGTTGTTAACTTTGATACAAATACATTTGGGCACCTGTTTCATTTAGTTGTGCTGGCTGAGATTGAGTTTTGGTGCATTCATGAGCAAGAAACTCATGCAGAATCATTCAGATTGAGTGGAAGTAGGGGAAGTACATGAGGTCCATGATTTCCAGTCCACTAAAACGCAAATCTACCCGTGGAGATGTTACATACCTTCAGATGTCACATCGCGTTGACTAGCCTGTCACAGTTTTTGAAGGTTGAATCCAATTCGATAATTGTTGATCTCCTTCATGACCTCTCTTTCTTTCTTCATATAGCCTCATCATAGCTCATCATCCTTCTACCGCACATCTCCAACGACTCCAACATCCAAAAAGTACCCTGGTCTTCCGTTTTCAAAACTCTCGTCATTATCTTCGATCGGACTTAAGGCGCCTGGCTCAGCAGCCTCGAACAAGACCGACACGATGAATATAATTGTTTGCAACCGTTTCTCAATCTTGAATCGAATCAACTTGCACTTTTGTGATGCGTCACCATCCTCGCTGATGATAATCCGATTATGTGTTATCTTTTCATTGAAATCGGAAGGAATCCGTATTCGGGCGTTACAAAAGCCCAGCCGAACGGATGCGTGAGCATCAACGCTCATTACAGAAAGCTCAACGAGAATTAGATCGAGAGAGGACAAAGTTAGAAGCTCAAGAAAAGAAGTTGATCATTGATATTAAAGCGAATGCTAAAAAAGGACAAATGGTAAGTAGACTTTGTCTCTTGATTCATATCAATGCATGCTTTTGCCTCGAGGACTCTCTCACCGCTTTCCGGTTTTTGATTGGATCCTCCTGTAGAACTCGTGTAAGGTGATGGCAAGGGATCTAGTTCGAACGCGCCGTTATATATCAAAATTCTATGCGATGAGAACGCAGCTGCAAGCTGTAGGTCTACGACTTCAGACGATGAGGAGCAATCAACAAATGGCTGAAGCTATGAAAGGTGCAACTCGGGTAAGCACTGTCACTGTTTCGGTTGATTCATGAGAAGAAGTTACTGAGAATATGTCATCTTAGGCGATGGGTATGATGAGTCGAACAATGAACCTACCACAAATTCAAAAAATATTGATGGATTTTGAGAAAGAAAGCAGTATGATGGATATGAAAGAGGAAATGATGAATGATGCAGTCGAGTAAGCTCAACTTGATAGTACCTTTGTTCAAATTATGCCAGATTCAAACAACTCTCTCTCTAGTGACGCGATGGAAGATAATGAGGACGAAACAGAAGAGGAAGAGGGACAGAAGATCTTGCAAGAAGTCTTGGATGACATTGGTATCAACTTGAGTCAAAAGGTACATCTATTCCGTTGGCCTACTTTGTACATTCAAAGGACTAACCATCTGATGTCGCACAGCTGGGAGACGCTCCGACCGGCTTGGAGACTTCTAATGCAATACCCGAGACTCGACAGCCAGTGGCCATTGGCGAGTCCTCTGGCTCTGGTCCTCCCCCCACGAGTAAGGCTCCAGCATCAGAAATGGACGAATTCTCGGCCAGACTAGCGTCTTTACGAAAGGATTAGGGCCATTTTTTTGCCTTTGACCCATTAACATCTTTTCCTCCCTTTCTATCGACATTCATCGTTCATCTCCTCAAGCTCTGCTCGCAACACACCTTTGTACTTCATAGCCCTGTGAACTGAAGCCTTAACATCATGTATATGAGTCACGCGGCATGCGTCTGTCTTGAATTCTTAATGTATATATCTCGAGAAAAATATCATGCGTATTATACGATAGGTTTCGGAATAACTTGTCATTTCAAGCACAATTTTTGAAACTTTGAAAGAGGGAATCCAAATCAAGAGCGCCTATGCGCGTAGGGCAGACCTCAACCCTGGTGACTCCTATCTCTATCAATTCCTGCTTTCTGATGGAAGCCTTTTCTTATTTGCGTGCACTTGAGTGAGTAAAACCTTTGCTCATCTCGAGCCGCATGTTGAGATATGCAGATCATTTGTAAAGCTGGCACTGGTAGTCCGGACACTGAAAGATAAAAGTGCGTCATCAGACCGTCTCTTACTGTCAGAAGTAAACCAACGACACATAGAAATGTGAGACTGATCTTCGAGTTTTCTGCTTTTGTATCGCCCTCTTCCTTGTGGTACAGGCATCACAATTCCACACTTCTTACTTGAAACTTGAACTTATGAAGCGCTCCTCAAGGATTTAGGCGCAAGTTCAATTCGCATTAGATCCTGTTCATGCGGGAAGTTCAAAGATCTATATACAAAATTCAACGCAGATAAGAACAAAGTATGCATCGTCATGCTGTGATAGGTACATGCCGATAAGACACGAGCAATGTTTCAAGTCGGACTTGTATACAAAGGAGTGGTGCGGACATGTGATTGTAGGAGATACAGAGGTGATGGAAAATAAGAGATCAGAGAATCTTAAACGTCTATGGAAGTGGCTTTCAAATTTGGTAAGCGAGCCTTCATTCCAGCGCAGATATCAGCATAAATTTGATCCACTGTTCCAGATGAATCGACCTAGAATTGAGAAGTTGAGAATGATTCAATCATCTCTGATGGTGCAACTCGAGTCACATTTGAAGGTTGGACATTGAATCATAATGAAGTTTGGCTCACCTCCACAACCTTTTCCTTTTCTCTATAATAATTAACGACTGGCATAGATGTTTCAACAAAAGTACCTGTGACAATAAATATCATTCATTTGTGAGCACTGAGACGACAGTCCACTCGCGGTGTCATTGAAAAAGATCTGGATAATGTGACTTACGGAAGCGTTTTTTAATAGACTCTTCGTTATCGTCTTCCCTTCCACTGGTTTTGCCTCGCTCAATCAAACGAGGCAGGAGTTTCTCTTCTGGACAAGTCAAGAAGAGCACAAAAGAAGACTCGTAAACCTAGGAAACCAACATAGGTTTGAGACAATGGCAAAGAATCAGAATGAAAACTCTTCAAAACACGAAGAGAGAAAGGAACTGGATCAAGTGAAGTATTTGCTTACGTCTGCATCGAATTTAATGGCTTGATCCATTTGACGAGGGAAGCCATCGATAAGGAAAAGTTTAGATTTCTTCTCTGAATCAATCGCACTGCTAATCGCGTTCTTCATCAATTTCACAGTGATCGGCATTGGAACAATCTTTCCTTCTTTGATGTAATTTTGTATCAAGGTCCCAAATTCAGAACCTTCGCGATTTTGTTCAGCTCTTAAGAGATCACCAGCTGAGAGATGAACAAATCCATAGTCGGAGACAAGTTTAGCACATTGAGTTCCTTTTCCTGTTTGTTTAATTTTATAATACTTATCAGTCTTGAATTTTTTGTGCTTTGTGAAGTAACAGGAATCAGTGAACAAGTAATGATGAAATTCTGACCTGCTCCTGGACCTCCTAGAACAAACACTATGACGACATCTTTCGAGTCAAAACTCGGCCTTGACAGAGCTGTAGGGTCATGACTCTGGGTCATTCCCCTATCTCTGGTGGGTCTGGCTGTCATCTTGTGCACAAATATTAAACCGCTGACTGGATTGGAAAAGAAGATATGCGTAGTCTGAGTCTACTAATGGTTGGAGAATTTATGCAAAGATGACCGGAGTTTAAAGAGGTGAGGGTTGACCAGAGTTGAATATAGAGCCTGGCGGATCCTTGGTTCAGTATGAGAAAGTAGATCTGATCAATGGGCTGGGCACACCAGGAAGATTCGATAGGCGCGCTTTTTTGAGTATTTATTGACTACGGAAGGCAAGGTTAAGCTAACTTGAAGAGGATCAGTTTGTTACAATAGATGGGATGTGCTGGATCAAAGCTGTTGAAAGTGAATACATGGGCTTTATATTAACTTTTCCTTGCAGCTTGCATTGCTCTTCGACAGTGCAAGAGGAACACTGAGTTAGGAGCTAGTAGTTACACATCCGACCGATCATCAGGAGTTCATGCTCCACTGAGTTGGATGAAGCACGCATGAGTAATGGCTAGAACTGTCGTCACGACTCGGACTCAAGTTTCGGCGGTTTCCTTTGGCTTCTAGGAGAGCTCGCCTCAGCCGGGCGCTTTTCTTACGCGAACTTGTACAAAACTTATATGAAAGATCGCAAAGCGAGGTGGGAGAGTTGATTGAGCTGCAATCTGGCAACCTGAAGGAAGGCACGGAGCAAGTCGGAACGCGTCGGATCTGCATTGATGTCCCAAACCTGTGAGAGAACCTTCACATCGATGAAAAATGAGATGACATTTTCTAATCGAGACCTCCAAGGATGGGTTTCAAGGTCGCAATGAACATGATGAACCTATCTCATCTGGTCAACAGGAAGCTAACATATTTTACTTGCGTCATTGATTCAAATGTCCTGTAGATCCAGATGGAGGGAAGAAGCCCAGGCTATCTCTGCTTAGATGTGACTGCTTTTACCCCGGTCCCCTGCATCAAGTATTTCATCAAAACATGAAGTTATGAACAAGGCTTTTGAAAAATGTCGTAACAGCCTTCATCTGGCACGAAGGTCTGCTTCTAGGTATCGTCTGTCATTGTGCCTTAAAAAATACTCATGTCAATGAACCTTCCAAAGACTCTTTTTTATCAATCATGGAGCACAAACTCAAAAATCATTAGGGCAGGTCAAGGCAAAAAAACCTAAAACACAAATGTCCTCAAAAATACTGCTTATGATTTTTGAATTTTTAATAAATTTATAGAAAGCCCTGCTTGAGAAGCACAATGCGGTGTGTTATTTTTGAAAAAATGAGATTTGAAGGGATGGGAGGCAAAAGTACAAACAATTTTAGGCACTTTTTGGCCAACTTGGTACCAGGCTACCTGTACACAAAGAGACCAAATCTTGAACAAAGTGCACCCAGAAACAAACTTAACTAAGTCCCTCTCTGACCTGTACTGGCCAGCTCAGAATCATTGGCAGAAGAGCTCCTTAAGATCTTTCTACACCTCTTGCTACTGAATATTCTATGTGGGCCAAAAACCCAAGGCACACACTGATATCTTGCACAAATTACACCACTATGATTTGCCTTCAAGATTGACTCTTGACAGTCATTTCTGTGTGACATCCTCCTTCAGTCCAGATATGAGACTCAATCTCCAAGACAATTTTTTGACAAGAGGCCTAGATCAACTTCCTCAAAAAACATTTCAGAATCTGTGCAAGGGTACCAGTGCACAATTTGTCTGCTTAGTCCACATGGGAACACTCTTGGGAAGGGGACCTTGTAGATGAATTGCAAGAATTTCTTCTGAAAAGCCTCAACCTGATAGGACTTGAGGTGATGAGGCAAGATGCAAGAGTGAGAGAAAGGTCTTCTAGTATTGTAGTTAGATTGCTAAGTGAAGAACCTGTCCTCCACCCTCTACGGTGAGTAGTATGCCAACTGCTAAGTACACATAAGGATGCTGAGTATACATAAGTCATAGGTCATAACACCACTTCCCCCTCCATGTCTCAACCTCCTTTTGTAGGTTAGCATCTTTCCCCGGGCTGGCATTAAAAAACCCATTGGGAAAAAGCCTCGCCCTCTACTTTCTCCTTGTCCTTTTGTACCTAAGTTCTGCTTGAGGATATTTTTTATTAAATTCATTTACCACATCTTGAGCATGTTTCATTCCTTCTGCCGGTTCCCACGTATCATATTCTTCACCATATCCCTTCCAATTTATCAAATATTCAATTTTGTTACCTCTTTTCCTTTTGTCTAATACTTCATTAATTTCAAATTCTTCATTATTGTCAATTATTATTGCTGGTTGCTGAATCCTCTCTTGACCTTCTACCTTGCTCTTCTCAAATTTTCTTAACAGGTTGACGTGAAATACCGGATGTACCTTATTCATCGACTTGGGCAAAGCAATTTTATAAGCGTTTTTCGACACACATGACAGAATTTGAAATGGTCCCAACCACCTATGCGCAAATTTTGCGGTTGGTCTCGTAGTTGATATGTGCTTGCCATTGAGCCATACTTTCTCGCCGACCTTCCATTTGGGAGTTTGTCGAATTTTCTTGTCGTGGTTTGTTTTCATTACTTCTTGAGCTAAGTGCATTGAGTCTTTGACCTCTCTTTGTACGTCTTTGATTTGATTCATTCGTTGCTCTACTAAAGGTAAACACTGCTCACTCGACGGAACGTCAGTGAAATTTACATCAAAACCGTAATTTGCCTTAAATGGAGAGATTCCTATTGCAGAGTGTTGATTGTTGTTGTAGGAGAATTCTGCGAATGGGAGTAGATCATACCAGTCATCCTGTTTGTAGGAAGTGAAGTGTCTGATAAATAATTCGACCGCTTTGTTCGTGATTTCACTCTGCCCGTCTGTTTGGGGATGGAACGCAGTTGATGACTGTGTTCTTATTCCTAAGCGTTTGTTGAAGTCTTTGGTGATTCGGGATATGAAGATGTTGCCGCGGTCTGAAGTAATGGATCTTGGTGTTCCGTGCAGACGCCATACTTCCCTTACCATCAGGTTTGATAGTTCCTCTGAAGTCATTGATTTCTTGCATGCGATGAAATGCGCCATTTTTGTGAGTCGGTCCACTACAGTCAATATGCTGTCATAACCATTTGAATCAGGTAAGTCAGTAATTAGATCATAGCAGATATCCAACCATGGCCCTTCTGGAACTGGTAAGGGTTGCAGACTGCCATACGGCTTCTCAGTTCTTGACTTTACCCGTTGACACGATTCACACCCATCAACGTAATTATTCACAAATGATTTCATCGACGGCCAGTGATACGCTCGTTTGATGAGTGCCAACGTTCGCAGTCGACCAGGATGTCCTGCAAGCTTGCTATCGTGCCTCGACTTCAATATGTTCAGCTTCACTTCATTATCTTGCGGGACCACGATTTTATTCTTGAAGTATAAGATTCCATCTCCCACACAGTATCCTTTTAACAGCTTTGAGTTTGGCATCTCCTCACATAATTTCATCAGTTCAATGATCTTGTTGTCATTTACTAGTCTTTCTTTGATCAGCCTAAGAATGTCTGAGTCTTGAAGTACGCCTCCACGTTGATTTGTCTCCCCTTCATCTTTGTCAGCTTGCGTGAAATTTTCCTCATTCTCAAACCACATATCGGCTAGTTCTAGTTCATCTATGAAGGCGTCGGCAGGTAAGTTTTCGGGTTTGAGTAGTCGTCCAAATGTAAGCTTTGTGCCCTCTTCTGGAACTAGGTCCGGCCTTCGAGACAACGCATCAGGTTTTGTTGATTGTCGGCCAGGTCTGAATCTGATTTCAAAATCGAAACTTCCCAATATTTCAGCCCATCGGGCTTGCCTCCGCGTAAGTTCTTTCGTCGTCATTAATGATTGGAGGTTCTTATGATCTGTGTAAACTATGACGTTCAGCCTATTTGGATTTCCTTCTAAATACTGACGCCATTCCTTAAATGAAGCAACCACCGCGAGTAACTCTTTATCAAAGATTTCATAGTTTCTTTCAGCTTGGATTAATGATCTCGAAAGGTAAGCTACCGGGTGTAAGTCATTATCATCTTCAGATACTTGAGACAAAACAGCACCTAGGGCATAATCTGAGCAGTCACATTCTAAGACGAACGGCCGGTACGGGTCTGCAATCTTCAATATCGGTGCCGATGTGAAAGCCTTCTTCAGAGTTTCGAATGCAGCATTCCTGTCTTCAGTCCATTTGAATTCAACACCCTTTTGAGATAATTCATGTAAAGGTCGTGTGATTTTCAAAAAGTGATCAATGAATCTTCGGTAAAAATTAGCAAACCCTAAAAAGACTTGCGTGTCTGATAGGTTATTGGGCGTCGGCCAATCCTGCACCGCTTTGACCTTGCTTTCATCCATTCTAATTTGATTCCTAGAGATTATTAGACCAAGGTACGCAATTTCTTTCTTTGAAAACTTGCACTTTTCAGGTTTCAGCCAGACGTTTTGCTTCCGTCAGATCTCTAGTACTTCTTTTACAACAGCTTGATGATCAACTCCTGGGCCAGTATAGATAAGGATGTCGTCTTGGTACGCAGCCACATCTCGTCCAATGTGTGACTTGAGAATATCCTGAATAAAGAACTGGAAAAACCCCGGCGCTCCGGTTGGACCAAAAGGCATGGTTAACGGTTTGAATTGACCAGCCTTGCATATGAATGCCAGTTTGGCTTCATCACCTTCTCGTACTCGTAGGTTGTTATAACCATTGCACATATCTAAGCTTGTGAATTCATCGGCATTTAACAAACTATCTACTAATTCCATTGTGAGGGGTAGTGGATATTTGTTTTTAACCGTCACAGCATTTAGTTTCCTATAATCAAAACAAGGACGAAGGCTTCCATCTTTCTTTCCAGTGAATAATACCGGTGCCGCCCAGGGAGAAGTATTTCTACGAATAGTTCCATTGGCAAGTCCCTTTTCGAGCATTTCAATTAAGACCTCGTTCTCTTTTGGCGATAATGGAATTACTTTCCCTGCTTGAGGTGTCGCACCAGGAAGCAGATCAACTCGAAAATCGTAAGGGC